ATTCCTGACTACACTTCCACACAAGCGTTGACTGAGACGTTGTAACTGAGTTAACGGATCAAACGGTTGGCACGTAACAATAATATACTTTTCTAACATTTATTTATTTTAAATTAAATTTTTATTGTTTAAAACAAAAAAAGAATACGAAATATAATTAATACTTTTAATTTTACATTTGTTTTTTTTGTTATTATAATTTATTATTATTTATTATATAAATAATATGTATAATATTTTAAACTAATTTAAGAATTATTAACATTATTATTTTTCACATCTCACTAAAACACTCTAGACATTCTTCTACTAAGTGGTCTCTGCATATAAGTTTTGCACAATTGGTGCATACTTTTGTTGTTTTTCTATCACGTTGGCGGTCACAAAATTGACATCTTCCTGATGCTCTTACCCGTTGCTCACCTACTTGTAATGTTGATTTGTAACCATAAATATTTAGTCGCGTTTTAATATTTTTTGGAAGTGAAAGTATTGTTGCACGATATTTTAACTGTTCATCCATAAATTGTTTTGCTAATATTTTTAAAAATTGAAGACGAGTATATTTAGATTGACTGTTTTCATGATATATAACTTGAGCATTTACAGCACCGATATTCAAAATTGAATAAAATACTGTAAGTGGCCATCTATTACTCCGTCTTGCAACTGTATAGTTTTCTGTCATCCTGTCCATATTATCAACTGCTCCTTTTGTGGCATTATAAAATGTTATAATTTCTGGTTTTTTTTGCTAAGCCTGTACTTTCATTTATGGTTTTACTATTATGCATTGTTGACAAAACTAGAACAATTTTATTTTTTTTTGGCATATACGATACTAGGGACTTGTTGTTTTGAAATCCGAAGTAAGAAGAACAAAGTCCCATATTTTTAGTAACAAGAAATTCTTTTGGAATCTCTCTTTTATTTTTTTTTTATTGTAGCTACTAATGTAAGATTATGATTTTTCAAAAGTTCTTCAGCTAATGATATACTCGCAAACCAATTGTCTGCCGTTATATTTCTACCGGTTTTAGATATTGGAGACACTAACCGTTTTACTACTTCACTTGCAGAATTGTCGATTGAAAATGGGCCATCTGGCTGCTTGCCTGCATAAATTTCTAAATTACTAGTATAATATGTAACATTGTCACACAACGCGAAAATTTTAATGCCGTACTTGACTGGCTTGTTAGGCATGTACTGTTGAAATGAGCACCGACCACGAAATGATTGTAGCTTTTCATCAACACATGCGTATTCTGATATTGAATATAATTTCTTATAGTTACTGACAAAATTTTCAAAAATCCAACGAATATGTGTAATCTTATCTACTTTTTTTCTTTGAGTACGCCCACGAATCTCATCAAACCTTATACATCGTAATAAAAATCGAAATCGTCTTTCTGACATTATGCAAGCAAATAGATCTGCTCCGGTTCCATCACTTTGCCACAAATCTTCTGAACTTCTATGAGAACATTTCATAGCCCCTACCAAAGAAAAAAAAAATTAAAATAAGATAGCTACGGAATAATAAAGCAATTTGTATGTATATTTTTATATTTCAGTATAATATATTTATATCTCATTTTTCCGATTGGTGGTATGTATACAACGACGAATCGTAAGATTATTGAAAATATCAATTATTATTATTATCATTCTATTTTTACCGTTTACATAAATCTAATAATAATATATTGTACGGTCGCGTATCGTTTTTATTAAATGTATTAATGTTATCTTCGTAATCGCGCGATAAGGCACCGTAGTTCAACGACCTATGCGACGAGCTCGACCGAGTAGTTGTCTTGTACACGCGTTACCGTACGGACTACCCGCTAAATTTTGTGCGTAAAAATAGAGTCCATTTAATTAAACCTAAGTTCAGTTCGTAATCGCGTAATTGAACATTTGTTCCCTCGAACCGGATGAGCTAGCGTAAACGGGTAAAAGGTGTACATGAGCGCGTGAATAACAGGCCTTGAGTTTTTAGCCTGATCGTATTACGCGTTCGGTTGGTGGCGAGTGTTGGTTTGCGACACTACTAGGGTGAGTGCATCTAGGAGTACCACAGCACACGCGGTGTATTATTTGCGAGGTACACAAGTCACCAGGCAACTCAGCGGTGAGACATACTTCAGCAGAAGCAAGGTAAGAGAGTATCATAATTTCATTTATATTTATTGGTATTGGTATTTTCCCTTCCTAAAATACGGCGTTAGTGTAAGCATTGTGGTCGGGGGTTTCGAGGTCATCCGAGCCCAGAGTCTTGCGGTGTAAAGAATATTTTGTAATAATGATTTGGGGCGCTGATACAATTATCGTTATTATAGGTTTATCACTTACGATAAGCACGAGTAATATTACTTTACATTAGGTGTCGGCGAAGAGAATAATCGTTATAATTATACGACGTGATCGACGACGACGTATTAACAAATATGAGTAATTTCGTAGCACGACGCGGTCAGCTTAAAGGTATATTGACTAGATTTTGGAATTACGTTACGACACCAGATAATGATGTCAATCAAATTCACATTCGAAAAGAAAAAGTAGAAGAGGTTTGGCAAGAGTTTAATCGAATACAAGCTGAAATAGAATTGGAAATCGGAGAAGGAGAAAATATTAAATAAAAAATATTATATAAACATTATCAATTTAGAGAAGAATTCGAAGAACTTTATTACAAAGCAATCACAGAAGGAAATAGAAGAATCCAGCGAACGGAGAACATATCCGGGACGGTCGAATACAACCGAGATGAAGATAGTGAAAGGAAAATGAAGGAAGTCAACCCGATGATAAAACTGGCCGCATTAAACGTTCCTATATTTTCAGGTGTATATGCCGAATGGGCATCATTCTACGACATATACACCGCGTTAATCCATAATAATGATAGCATATCTACGATACAAAAATTCTTTTACCTACGGTCATCGTTATCAGAAGGTGCCGCCGAGTGTATCAAAAATATAGAAACCACGGCAAATAATTATCTAAGTGCATGGAGTAATTTAATATCCAGATATAATAATAAGAAATTATTGGTACAAACTCATGTCAGAGCAATTTGTGATTTGCCTACAGTAAAAGGGAAATCATCGTCTAGTTTACGACAATTTTCCGATAATCTACGGGGGCATTTAGCAGCGTTAAAGACATTAAATCAGCGGCCCAGCGAATGGGAACCACTTTTACTACACATAGTATGCTCAAAATTGGATACGGATACGATAAGCGAATGGGAGATAAAAACCCCAATTGACGAGCTAGCAAAGGTCGACGACCTAATCGAATTCTTAGACTCACGTTTTCGCGTATTAGAAGCGGTCGAATCGGCAAAAAATATGAATAAGAGCGTAAATACAGTGTTTGAATATAAAAACACGAACCGAAAAAATAAGTTCGAAAGAAACAGTATGTCACTAGCGGTAACCGCAGAAATAAAATGCTTTATATGTAATCAATCGCATACTATATATAAATGTCCAACGTTCGTTGCAATGTCAGTAGACGATTGCATAAAGAAAACGTACGAGCTCGGTTTGTGTAAGATTTGTTTACGTCGTCACGAAAAAAGAAAATGTTTTGCTCGACATTGTTTTAAATGTGCCAAAGCTCACAATACTATGTTACATATCGGAACTGAACATCAGAAACTATCGACAACAACCGCAGTGGGGTCGAGTAGCAACACGGCCGCAACTGATACGACAGTAATTACGTCGGTGAACGCACACGCGTCCGCGGCAATAGAACACGTATTATTATCTACAGCAGTAGTGCTCGCCGTAAATGTCGACGAAAATACATTGCCGTGTAGAGTACTGCTGGACTCCGGCTCTCAGCAAAATTTATAACCGAAGAGCTAGTCCAGACATTGCATTTAAAAAAGAATAAAATCGAGCATGTTATTAGTGGTATTGGTGAAACGTCTCAACGCGCAACATCGTCCGTATGGGCAAAAATAAAATCACGAATAAATGATTACACGTTAAATTTGCAAATGGTAGTGGTACCGAAAATTACGGGACACTTACCGAACCATAATGTCAAAACAAAATATAACATTCCTAATAACATTAAGATAGCAGACCCGTCATTCAATGAGCCACAAAAAATCGACGTATTAATAGGCGCCGCGCATTTTTATGATATTTTAAGTGGCGGTCAAAAGCGACCAAACCCGACTGGCCCTTTATATCAGGAAACAGTGTTCGGTTGGGTGGCGGCAGGGCCGGTATTAATAAATAGTCACGCAAATATGATGCCATCGAGTGCGGCATTTCTTGCGACACATGGTGTGATGACATTAGAACATTTATTACAACAGTTTTGGATAGTCGAAGATATGGGGAACGAAGCCACATATACACCGGAAGAACGCGCTTGCGAGGACCATTTTAATAAAACTGTGACCCGAAGTAAAATTGACGGACGTTTCGTAGTGAAGCTACCGTTCCGTGAGAATGCGAAACGTCTGGGGAAGTCATACGAAATAGCGAAGCGACGTTTGTTAGCAATAGAGAGAAAATTTAAAGGCAATCAGGATCTAAAAACAGAATACATTAGTTTTATGGACGAATATGAAAGGTTGGGTCATATGGAACTAGTAAATGAAGACACCGAAGTTGAAGGTAAAATGTGTTACTTACCACACCACGCAGTAAGAAAAGAAGACAGTACTTCGACAAAACTACGTGTTGTATTTGACGCTTCGTGTAAGACGCAGACAGGTGTGAGTTTGAATGATGTATTGATGAAAGGACCAGCGATACAAGACGAAATTATATACATAATGGCTCGATTTCGAACACACAATTACGTGGTAACAGCCGATATAGCCAAGATGTATAGGCAAATAGTAGTAGCAGAGGAACATCGCGATTGGCAACGCATACTGTGGCGAACTACGCCGGAGGCACCCGTGCAAACCTATCGTTTAAATACAGTTACTTACGGTACGGTACCCGCTTCATACATAGCAACAGCCTGTCTGAAGAAATTAGCTGAAACCAATAGTATGGAATACCCTAAAGCTGCAGCAGCTATCATTCGCGATTTTTATATGGATGATTTTTTAAGTGGGGCGGAAACGAAAGATGAGGCAGCTACATTGATAAGACAACTCATTGACGTAATGAATAGCGCCGGCATGAAATTAAGAAAGTGGTCATCTAACGATATAGATTTGCTTAAATCTATTTTACCTAACGAGGATATAGAATTGTCAAATTATTATGATATCGGTGGTTCGACAAAGAAAATTTTAGGGTTGTATTGGGACGCTCATACTGATAAGTTACGGTTTAAGATGTCGCCGGGAGTGGGCTGGACTACGGCCATCAGTAAACGTGACATATTATCCGACATAGCGTCGATTTTTGACCCGTTAGGTTTGGTAGGACCGGTGGTCATACGCGCAAAAATAATGTTACAAGCCCTATGGCGAGAAAAGGTGAACTGGGATGAACCCATACCGATTGGTGTGCGTGAAGAGTGGTTAAAATACCGCAATTTATTACCAGCATTAAATAACTTATCGATATCACGGAAAATATTAGGTGATTTAAGTGTAGGGCATATAGAAATTCATGGGTTTTCAGACGCTAGCGAAGTAGCCTACGGTTGTTGTTTGTACGTTCGATACGCAACCGGCACGGGGTCATATTCCACCAGTTTAATATGCGCCAAGTCCAAGGTAGCACCAATAAAGACTTTATCAATACCGAGATTAGAGTTATGCGCCGCATTATTATTAAGTAGATTGGCAGCCAATATAATACCCAAATTGCAATTAAATATAAAACGGAGATATTTTTGGACAGATTCGATCATCGTACTTGCTTGGATTTCGTCACCTGCTGCAAATTGGAAAGTCTTTGTTGGTAATAGGGTGAGTGAAATTCAAGATAAAACTTCTTGTTCTGAATGGCGTCATATCAGTTCAAAGGAAAATCCTGCGGACGTAATATCTCGTGGTTGCTGCCCATCGAAATTGGCGGAAAATGTATTATGGTGGACCGGTCCAGAGTGGATACGTCGAGACGAACAAGAATGGCCACAGTCACAAGAACTCTCGATAGAAAAGGAACATATTCCAGATATTAAAATATCCGAGAAAAAGGAAAAAAATACGTATACCATGTGTGCATCTATACGATCAGAAACCATATTACACCGCTTTTCGTCATTTACTAAATGTGTACGAGTAACCGCATTTTGTCTACGTTTCAAGAATAATACATTATTAAAGAATGTGAAGTATATCGGTCCGTTAAGTGTAGAGGAATTAGAGCAAGCAAAAATAAGGCTGATAAAGTTAGTGCAAGTAATTAATTTTTCGAACGAATTGCGTGACTTAAAAAAAAACGGCGTCATTAATTCTCGAAGTAAATTATTTCGATTAAATTCATTTATAGACGAACATGGGTTGTACGGGTAGGCGGCCGTTTGAACAATGCCACTACCATCGACACTGATCAGAAACATCCGATAGTGTTACCAGCAGATAGCGAATTTACTAAGTTATTATGTCGCGATAAGCATGAACGTCTCATGCACGGTGGGCCTCAAGCGGTCTTGGCCGCTATCCGTCTTAAGTATTGGCCGATAAACGGTCGAAATTTAGTGCGTAATGTTATCCATAGGTGTGTTATTTGTTTCCGTAATAAATATATTCCGACAATGCGACTAACTTCGTCGGTGCTAATAATAAATTAAAGGAAGTTTATCAATTATTCCAATCTCAACAACACATGGAGACAACAAGGAACACACTCGCGAATATTGGTGTATCATGGCGTTTTATTCCACCGCGGTCCCCACATTTCGGCGGATTGTGGGAGGCGGCGGTGAAATCGATGAAAATATTATTAGGTCGAATATTGGGTGAGACAAGGTTGACATTCGAAGAGTTAAGTACACTCCTGACCCGTGCTGAAGCGTGCTTAAATTCACGTCTTATTACTACTTTATCCTCCGATCCTTCCAACCCTCCCTATTTAACTCCTGCTCATTTCCTGATAGGAGACTCTCTAATCGCCGTACCTGAACCTGATATAACCAACATACCTCTAAATCATTTGACGAGATGGCGTAGAATAACTCAATATTCCCAACATCTATGGCGTCGTTGGAGTAGCGAGTATTTGGGACAATTGCAGGAGCGGTCAAAATGGGCGAGTAATAAGGGCTCTTGGGTGAAACCTGGCACAGTGGTTTTGGTAAAAGAAGATAATCTTCCGGCGTTTCGATGGCGGCTGGGCATGATTACGAGTGTTCAGAGAGGAAGTGACGGTGTAATTAGATCTGCTAACGTGAAAACTCAGGAGGGGCATTACCAACGAGCTGTACGGAAGTTATGCCCATTACCGTTCGAGGGAAATGTAGAAAATGCTTAGACAATCAACCAATATTTATTTTTCTTTTTCTTTTTATAATCAATCGTGTATCGTGTTCTAATTATTATTCGAGTTATATATTCATGTCTAAAAAAAAAAAAATTTTTTTGTATTTTGTCTCTTCTTTTTTATTGTTTTATTTTTATAAATCATAGAGTACAATAGTTAATATGCTAATCTATTTATTATTATTTGTATATAATTATTATTTATTGTTGAAAATTTAATATTTCAAGGCGGGCGGTATGTACGGTCGCGTATTGTTTTTATTAAATGTATTAATGTTATCTTCGTAATCGCGCGATAAGGCACCGTAGTTCAACGACCTATGCGACGAGCTCGACCGAGTAGTTGTCATGTACACGCGTTACCGTACGGACTACCCGCTAAATTTTGTACGTAAAAATACAGTCCATTTCGTTATTATAATTATTTATCGATTTTTATTATTAGTAGTTAAACCTAAGTTCAGTTCGTTTTTTTTTTTTTATTAACTTTTATTATAAGGCGTACAATCTGTAAATTAGTTATTACAATAAGTATGCATGCGGAATATATACTATAACTTGACATTGGTACGTGATAAAAGCAGCCACCCAATGGCGACACTTTCTAATATGATTAGGTTAATTTTTTACCTATATATATTTTTTTAATTGGTATTTAAGTCTCTGCACCACTTTCTATTCAATCGACGAGGAGGATTACCAGGAATGGTGTCGGAACCTAGAGCGGAAATAAGTGGATTGGAGTGGTTCATCAGTTGGGAGCGGAAACGTTTATAAAGAATTTTGGCAGTTTCTTCTATTGTATTAATATTTAAGTCTGTATGAAGGGTGTGATTAGAAACATAAAAAGGGGCATTCGTGATTATACGGAGGGTTGTGGATTGAAAGGTTTGAATTTTATTTGTGTTTGATTTTTTGGCTACGCCCCATAGTTGAATACCGTACGTCCAAATGGGCATTAATAGAGTTTTATATAAGAGTAATTTTGTTTTTATATTAAGTTTAGAGTGTTTTCCGAGTAAGAATTGTAGTGATTTCCTTCTAGAGTTCAGGAGGATTTTTTTCTTTTTTATGTGGTCTGCCCAGGTTAATCGTTGATCTAGAATTAGGCCCAGATAACGGGCGCTAGAGGATTTTGGAATGATTAGGTTATTTAGGTTTATAGGTGGTACGGTTCCACAATTCAATGTAAAGGTTAGATGAGTAGATTTCTCATGATTTATTTTTATTTTCCATTTGTCATACCAGGAAGACATAAGGTTTAGGTGGTTTTGTAGATTCATGCCAGCAATTCAGGCCAAAAATAATGGTACTCACCCGTCATGTATAAAATTCCAATCAATGCTTTTATTTCTTTGTAGTCGGTATCTGATGCATCACGTTCGCGACTATAACTTGCACGTGTCTTTGATATATATATATTGGTGCAATTTATCTAACATGGGTTTTGTAAAAAACACTTGCCAACATTCAAGAATATCTGTTTTGTTTTTAATAGTTGGAGAAACATCTGATTTTTCCGTAACATAATTTTTTTTAGACGTGCGAACTTTTTGGTTTGGCGCACGTTTATTCCACCTAGTTCCATCTTTTCCAACGTAGTATGGTAACATTCTTATGCTAAGTGGTAACTTATCATCTGATTCATGGTAATTATCGTCGTTTGTAATCGCATTATCTACAAAATTATATTCGGCCAGTTCTGAGTTTTCATCATCAGAAATATCGGATTGTTCAGTATCAATGTTATGATCTTTTTGTAAAATTTCAAAATTATCCTCTTCTTCGTCACTTGAGTTCCCTCCCCAAATACCTTCATTATCATCGAAATCGTCAATGAACGCTTCAATTCGTTGACGTTCTAATTCATCCATTTCCAAATATAATTATATTATAATAGTACGGCAAAATAAATACTTATTTCGTCGCGCGGGGTAAAAATTTTCCAAACTCGTACACACACACTTCAAACGCTGGTATTGAACGTACTAACTGATAAAACGTTAAACAGACTTAATATTATCTACTAATGACTTATAAATAGAAGCTAGATAAAATCCCAACACTCTCATACCAACCAACATAATATTAAAACATAGTTTAAAATTAGTGGGGTAATAAATTACCCCACGCGACCTACTTAAGGTTAAATGAATTCAAAAATACAAAATTTGGTTCTTATTGGTAAACATTTTGATAAAGAACAAGTTAATAATTAATAAGGTCATATAAAAAAATCAAAACTTTAAATTCTTTATTTGGCATCTATCAAAATGGAAAATAAAAATGTTTTTATTGCTTTTCTAAAAATTAAGTAAATATACCATAATAGCATTTTATAGTTTATCACAGATAGTTTTCATAATTGATCTATCGCTGAACCATGAATTCATCGAAATCGTTGAATGAATCCGCGACATGCGATAAGCATAAAGTCAAATTACCTGCGCTCACCATGATACCAATGATGGGTTAAATAATATTACTAAAATCAATGGTTACAATTTGTTGTATTATGTTATCAGCCTACCCCCTGTGCAATAATGTGTACTATAAACATACAAGGTATGTTTCCATATAATATGCAACATTAATTTGAATGTTGAATTTGCGTTAATGTGATGTCCCTGATACTGCTAATGTCCGGTGTTTAAAGCCTAATCATCAACGTTTTAAATCTGTTAATTTCTAACATACCTGCAACTGCAATATAATGTTTATATCAAAAAGTTATATTTGGGTTACATTGTAAACATAGTTAGAACGTCATATTCAAACAATGAAACCTACTAATAATTGGAAAACAATTATAATAAAATACCACAACCCGTATGCGGGGGGTATCGAACTCCGAACACCGACATACCTACCTAGACGGGTCTCTAAATCCTACGCGTTACTACCTATCGGCTATCCTAATCATATTGACATTAGGTTTATAATGGACGATATTTAAAGTGAATGGAAATCGATGGTTTTCTGTCTTTACTACCATACGAGCACATTATGTATGACAAAATAAGTAACTGATTTTTAACTAAGTTAAGTTACTTTTATTTTTTAATCAACATAAGACATGTAGTCTAAAACTGTCTAATGACCTGACACATCAAATAGTATGCATACGGACATTACTCTTATAAATAATTAATCGAAAAATCCTTTCTTAGCGCACGTCTACATCATAATAGCTATCTGTATGCCAAATTTCAGCCAGATCCGTCCAATGGTTTGAGCTGTGCGTTGATAGCAGTCAATCAGCTTACTGTTTTATATATACAGATATATCCACACAATACATATCAGAAATTTTGTTTGTATTTAAAATGTACATACCACGTATAATCGATGAAATTGGTTTAGCAGTTAGTTCTTTAGGTTCTAAATATTTTTTCACAATTAAACATGCATCATGGTTCAATGGTTCTACTATTTGTTCTACAAAAACAAGAGAGTTATCTAACAACATAATACATTTATCTTTTTCATTTGAAGTATTAATAGTTATATTTGAGTAATTTAAATTTAATTTTTGATAAAGTTGAGCGGTTATATCAAAGAAAGGATTAGGAATATTGTGTTTTATTTCTTTATTAAAAACATAAGGGACTTCGTTATGGCAATGGTTAGTATGTGGGTGTTGTGGTAATGGGTGTTGGTATTATTATCATTATTATCAAAGTGTATACTATTATCAATATATGAAGAACGTGTATTATTCTCAATATTTGAGGAACTTGAATTTTCTTTAAAAGTGTTATTTTTAGATGTAATTTCATTATTTTGTTTAGTTGTAGTATAAGATAAACATACATTTTTCTTTTCATTAACAATTCTTCGGAAGTAGCGATCAGATATTGAACCAAGAGCCTTTTTCTTCCGTAGAATACTTACCTAAAACGATGAATAAAAAATTATTATAAAACTAATCAACAATGAAGTCAATATAATATTTATTTTTAAATATGAACTTTTACAATTAGTAAAAATCTGTTAATTATTAGATAATACCAAATTACTTACGGAAAACTAAAATATATTGCAAAATTATTATTTAAGTTTGAATATCCTTTAAAAATTAAAATTAAACATACTTTATAGTTTTGTACTCTTATTAAATGTTATTCATACAAAATTAATTTTATTGAAACATTAAATTTTAACAAACATTTGAACCATTTTAAATTTATTATTAACTTTTTATCTACTACATCTGGTATTTGCGTGTCTCAACCATTCTGAAACCACTTTTTCAAATTCAGAATTAGTGATGATAGTGTTAGTACAGCTTTCTTGTATAGACTCTTAGAGCAATTCAATAAATTAGTCATACAATGTCTAGTTGCATTATTATGTTCATTCAAAGTTCATAATTAGGAAACATTTTACTACCAAAATGATTTGTATATAATATACATAATGTGCTTAACACATAGATTAAAATAATTTTTAAATAAAGATAAAATGTGTTAATAAAATTACTTTTCATTATCTTTATGAGATCTGAGTCTCCTATTTTAGTACTAATGTTTTTGCCACGGCCTGTCCAAGTACACTCAATCCCATATTTATCTGTAAACAGTTTTGACATAACTCTACTAACATGGTTTTTAGGAGTGTTTCCACCAACGGTTTTGATAAAATATTCCTACGATCAAAGTTAAATTAACAAATATATAAAAAACAGTTGGGAAACGACGATTTATGAGGAATCCGTGGTTTAACCAGATATGCGAAAATGCCCTACAACGTAGGAAGCAAGCGAGGGAAGTTTGGTTAAAGGATATTAAAAATGAAGAAAAATTCTCTAGATATAAAACAAGACTAAAAGAAGTAACCAAAATTATAAGATGCGAGAAACGAAAATTTATCAACGACATAGTGAAAAGTGCGGACCAGGACTATAAAAACCATAGGACACGGGACCTATACAAAAAGATCAGCTCTGTAAGCAAGGATTTTAAACCAAAAGAAATGTTTTTAAGAAACGAAAATGATACTTTGTTAACGGATAGAGACGACATAGTTGAGGAATGGGCTCAATACTTCGACCAGCTGCTAAACTGTAGAGAACCTTCTAATCCATTCCTCTTTGAGAATAAAAAACCGAATAGGGAAGAGTATCCTGAACCTACGATAGAGGAAATTGCGAAACAAATAAAAACCCTAAAAAACCACAAGGCGCCCGGTGAAGACGGGATTACCGGAGAGCTACTTAAAAAAGGTGCGGAGAATCTTGTTAAATATATTCATCGTTTAATTAGTTTAATATGGCAAAAAGAAGAGATACCAAAGGAATGGAAAACAGCCTTAGTCTATCCCATCCATAAGAAAGGAGACAAACAAACATGCAATAATTATAGAGGGATTGCCCTGCTTAATGTAACGTATAAGATTTTATCTTACTGTATACTTGATAGAATCAAACCTTGGGCAGAAGAGATTATAGGGGACTACCAGGCCGGCTTCAGGCAAAACCGCTCCACGATAGATCAAATCTTCATTCTACGTCAGGTGTTACAAAAAACTTGGGAGTATGACAAAAGCGTACATATGGTTTTCATTGATTACAAAAAAGCATATGATTCAATACATAGAACGTCCATAATCAAGATTTTAGAAGAGTTTGGAATGCCTAGTAAGTTAATAAGCCTCGTCGAGTGCAGTATTAGTCACACTGACATAAAGGTAAAAGTAGGACAAACGTTATCGAAAACGGTTCAAGTGACAACTGGACTAAGGCAGGGTGACGCCATATCACCGGTTTTATTCAACATAGTATTAGAAAAAGTAGTTAGAGAAGCAAACTAGGAGAAAACAACATTGGAATATTGGCATATGCAGACGATATAGTCTTGATGGCAGAAAGCAAAGATAAACTCAAAGAACAATCAAAACAACTCATAAATGCTGCTAAACGTGTAGGCCTAGAGATTAACGCAGAGAAAACTGAGTATATGGTCGTGCAAAGACATGAACAAAAAGGCTGTCGTAACGAGGTCCTGGAAGTCGAAAACTACAAATTCAAAAGAGTGCAGCAGTTCAAATACCTTGGCACACTAATTACACAGCAGAATGAAATAGGTACGGAAATAAAAGCAAGATTATAAGCTGCCAATAAATGTTATTTTGGCCTGACAAAGTTATTAAAATCTAGAGTAATCTCGAAAAATCTGAAGTCCCAAATATACCAGACACTTATCAAGCCAGTGGTGACATATGGGTCAGAAACTTGGACCATGAGGAAAAACGACGAAAATGCTCTTTTAGTGTTTGAAAGAAAGGTACTGAGAAAAATCTATGGACCATGTAAAGACGAACATACAGGTGAATGGAGAATACGCAAAAACAAGGAACTTCAGGATTTGTATCAAAGACCAAGCATTAAAGAAGATATCACCAAAAGAAGACTGAAGTGGGCAGGACATTCTTGGAGAAAAACAGGGTCATTGATAAAAATAGTACAAGAGAATGCACCAAAAGGAAAACGACCACTTGGAAGGCCGAGGTTACGCTGGGAAGATAGGATCAAAGAAGACATAGAGAAAGTGAGACCAGGATTGGATTGGAAGGAGTTAGCTTTAGATAGAGAAACTTGGAGACAAATCTGTTGGACGACATGGTCTTGAAGGCCGAAGTCATGGAAGAAGAAGAAGAATTAATGAATGCTTAAATCCTGTTTTTAATATAAAAACAAATTTTGAGTCTATTCTTAATAATTGTTTATAACTCTTGACGCGGACCCGTGCGGCAGCCGTTACCGAAACGGCAGTCGCCAACCGTGCCTATGTCTCTCTCATCAACCACCAGACCGCGGCACGCAACGCCGCAGCGACACCCCATCCTCCCATCCATCACCGGACAGGGGCGCGAGCGGTCGCTACGACGTCCGACAGGTACCACCACGTAACCGTGCTGTTTTTCCGGGATCGTTACCGAGACACAACTCACACACTCTCGCCTTAATTAAATTTATTAAATTATTAAATTTATTAAATATGTACATATTAAGTTCAATTGGTTGCAGTAAAATACAGTCGTAATAAGAAGTAAGTATTTAGTACTCACCTTAGTCTCATTTTCACGTTGTTCTCCAGACTTTGTTGATGACATCATGAATAAGTTCTATAGTATTATACTATTCAAAAGTTCAAAATTAATAAAATGTTTAATTGAAAACCTTTAGTTCACACTGAATAGTCGGTACTCAATAATCATGATTACTGATTATTACTATAATTATTACTATTATTATTATACTGTAATCACTATACACTAATCGCCAGTTTACCACGGTCAGTCGGCGGGTGGTGACAAGAGTAGGGGCCGCTAGTGAGTTAAAAATATTAGCTTATGGGTAAAACCAAGAGAGTATATTTTTATAGAGTGCAAAACTATTTATTTTAAAATAGTATATTTTTTTTTTTTATGAAAAACTGAAACATCGATATTATTTTGCTGGTACGTATTACAAATCACAATAATGTAACAACCCTGTGACATATAATTTATAACATTGTAGGTCTTGTAACGATCAAAATAGATTAATGTCCGTGTTTCGTTTTCCTCAATAAATAATAACCATCTTAAATAAATGCGCGACTACTTCATCACCTATAACATCGATGGACGAAAACACATTTGGAATTCCCTCCAATCTCTGTAATTGCACACCTCTCTATCCGTTTGTGTGTGTTATGTTAGTGGGTGGTCATGTAATAATTGCATGATAACGAGTATCGGCCTATTATTATAATTAAATAATATTATTATTATTATTATTATTATTTCAATGAGTCAGTTTTCGTATTGTTACGTGGTACCCAATAAAAATAGGTACCTATCGTAATGATGTTGTTGGAGTAGGATAAATTGATTCAATAATTAATTTAAATACTTGTAAATACTTTAATAAATACAAATACAGATACAAATTCTAAATTTGTGCACTAACAATATCAAAGACAAAACTCAGAAGGGCTTGTACTGATAGCTAGACACGTCTGCCGTTGGTGGTGAAACGGAGCCTTTATATACTCTGTTTGATTCTGTTTTAATTGCGTTGTTTTCGGCACGTGGTTGTCCTTGGCCTGGTTGTCTTATTTGAATGATGATGTTGTTTGCGGTTGTTTGTGATTTGTAATTTGCGCGTGGCACTCATTAAAGTTTATGTGTGCAATAGTTATTCTTGGTACGTTTATATGACTCAAGAATATGCGTATTATTATTTCTTAGTAATATATGAATATTACAGTATATTTCTGAAAAGTATTATACTGGCTCACTTTTTGTGTAGCTGTTCCGTTGTCCACAACATGCACGAGTAGACCGGACCATGCCGGTGCGTCTTGGGACGACGACCAATTGTCCGATTGGTCGGTAACGTATTATAATTAAAAATCAAAACTATTTTTTTATTATTATTATACCTTGGCCGGTATTCGTCAGTGTTATTTTATACACCATTTCTAATCTTATAAATCCGCGTGTGGAAAATTCTCTCTGTTTTTTAAATTCATACTATGAAAAGGTGGAGGTTTTACGCCCGTACGAGCTTTCTTCCACCATGTAAAAGTTTTATTATAATATATTTATATTTCTCTATAATATCTTTTAGTTCATTAATCCTTTTCCTTTATTTATTAATATAGTCTAAGTGACCACGATAGTAAATCCATTTACTTCGACCCCAAAAAGGGTCTCGGTATTTGGTTGGCGACCCATGTATCTTTAAAGGTAATCGTCAACGGGCGCTCGACAGAACTTACTGTACTGAGACGCCGCAGTCTGTACTATCATATAATGCCTAGTTATATCACCGGGATGAGTGTTAAATGTTTGTTTTATTTAGACAGAATAGATTACAATGTATACATATTAAAAAGTTACGTTGATTGTACTACGTAATATGTTTGTTTCTGGGATGTGTTGAAACATCCAGTGCACACTAGGTAATTTACAATTACCCCACTAGACCCTAAATCCAGAAAAAGAATTCAAGGCAATGATATTGAATTGATTTATTTCACATCTCTATTATTTTTGAACGTGTACATTGTGATCAATTTCATAATAATTTTTATATAATTTTGAACATTTGACGTTTTGATGTAAATCAGTTAATTTGCAATTCCTTATTGTTAAGTAATTTTTATTACATTAAACATACCCCCAGCACGGTTAGACTTAAAATACTTATACTATAGGTAAGTTGATTGTGAATTTCTAACAATTAAAACCATAATTATAGTATATAATTTTTCTTTAATATATCAATAAAACAATAAAAAGAAGTTTTTATTTATTATTCTTAACTCTAATCTTATATTTTTAACAAATTTGTTAACAAAAATTATTTGTAGTCTATAATTTTTCATTTACATATTAATAAGATATTAATTCTAATTTTTTTTTTTTAACAAATTTGCTGACAAAAACTATTCGTAGTCTTTTAATTTTTATTATTCTTAATTTTAATTTTAAATTTTTAATACAATTGTTGATAAAAACAATTAATCATGTTCAACATTGATTCGGTACACTGTAGTGGAACTAAAGACACATCTGAACACACCCCACTTATAGAGAACAATAATATAATACAAGTGTCACTGACAAAAAAAAAAACATTAGTGGGCG